ATAATTTTCATTTCCATAAAAATAAATTATTAGAATCTAATTAATAATTTGGGGACTCAATTGTTAAAACTAAAAAATTTAGGAGTAAATAAAATTTTTTAATTACTAAAATCAGGGCTAAAGCAAACTAATCTAAACTATCAAAGCTTGGTTGAAAATATACTAAAACTAGGTGACAAAAAATCTTACTGAAAATAGAGGATTGAAGCTTTGATTAGCCCTTTCTTCATATCAACATTTTTAAACCTGCTCACTAAACACATTTACATTTATTTATTATTTTTCCATTACCAACTCTCAAACCTTGGTTGAGATATCCAAATGATAAGCACTAAAGCAGCTAGAACAAGGAGAAAGTCGATGGAGAGAATGGATTTGAGAAGTCTGGAGTAGATTACACCATGGTTGAAATCATAACCTTCAATTCTAGTACAAGCCCCTTCAGGGGAATCCGAATCTTTGAAAACTGTGGAGTGTATAGAGTTTATAAGCTTATCCTCCATCATCTCCTCATACTATCTTTTGTTCTTCTCCGAGAAAAACTCTTTAAGATGTTCAACAATGTCCTTCAATGATTTCTCCTCGTTTTTAAGCTTTGCTGGTTCTACTTCATCTTTAGCTATATCTACTTTAGTCACTTCAATTTCCCGCTCTCTCAACGTAATCCCCTCCTTATAAGTACTGATTTTTTTCATCAGCCTATCTCTAACTACTTTACCATCCTCCCAACACGTATTGGGGCACTTCACTTTACCATCATACTCATCACACCCATCACAATAATAGCAGATGGAATCATTGACTCTAGAGGAAAACAAGAATTGTGAAACATGTCCAACATTTTGACAGTAGAATTTTGCAACCGACAAACGGATGTTCCAGGTTCATCTGTGTCGTCAGGACAATCGCAGAAATCATCATTGATCTGAGATTTGGAGAATTTTCCAGATCCGTATTTGCATTTAATGATATCCGATGATGATTTGTAGTAATTCAAATCTTGAGGAGAAATTCCATAGAAATGGTGCTTAGGAGCAGAGGAAGATGATAATCTAAGAAATGAAGCTAAGAAAAATACAAAGAGAACGAAAATGGAATATGATTTCATCTTTCTTGTGCAAATAAAAAAACTCAATCAAAAGTTTTCATAAAGCCAGTCAGAGAAATATACTAGTCGTCTTCAACAGCTTCCAACTCCTCTGATTTAAAACCAAGTCATCCCAAAAATACCTTTCAAACATGTAGTTCTCCATTTTCCATATTATAAAAATAATAATAATTGCAGTGGTTGAACAACTCTTCCCACTTGTGTTTATTCATTTTCTATATTTTAAATTGAAGAAATATAACCCCATATTGGGGTGTGACAATTCTCCCCTCCTTAAAAGGATTTCGTCCTCGAAATTCATTCATGTCACATAATTGCAGAAATGAAACTTCCATCAGTTCTTTCATATCTTCAAGTAGCTTTTATAGAAATACGGATCCTCCACTAATCCCTAACCAGTTTAGCATACATTCTTATCAGAACTCTCCCTCATTGCAATAAAAGAATAAGAATAAAAATTTCCTTTAGTAGTCAATTTAGTCTTGGTCATGAGAATAGGCTCATATAACAGTAGCATATCCCAATTTCATTACTGGAGTCAGGTCAGAATTTCTTAGATGAGTAACTTTCACATGGCTCGTGAGGTACTTTACAGAATTTAAACGGACGTTATCGATATTCCTTTATGCAATGGTAGAGTCCTAACGAATATAAAACTTAGATTTGCTCGTTATAAATAGGGACTCAATCTTGGAGTTTCGGCTCAGAGATGTACGATTGTAGTCTAGGGGCATGTACTGATCAGACATCTTTTGACATTCCACCGGCCGGTCTATTTTGAAAATTTTGACTCAGACCAAAGCTTTGATACCACTAAATGTAACCCCCTTAGATCGATGCAGTTAACCCGATCCAATCTAGAGTGTCACATTAGGGCCACCAGAGCGACCCACTGTAAAAATAGCGGAAAATTTAAAATTTTTATTAAAACATGTAATTTATAAAATGATTTATCAGTACGAAGAAATAACACATATTTCCATACTCGTATATAAAACAAAATACAATTACATGCCCCCTAATCACATGTAGCGTACTCTGTAAGTAACCCCAGAAGAACTCCCTTACTAAATTCGATAGATGTACTGTACAATTCTTTTAACCTGCAATGGTGAGTAATAGAGTGAGCTTCGGAAAGCTCAGTAATACAGAACTACCAGATGATGCTATATGACATGCAGATAAATGGGAAGCCATAATTTCCTTATTGAATCAAACATATATCAATTGCTGAATAATTTAGGGTTCCATTAGTAGTTCATCGAGTAGAAGCCATGAATCTCAGTTCATAAGAAACCTTTCATACAATCACATTTTTCATGAGGTCAAATAGGATGTCTAGTGTTTTCCATCAATACAATAAAATCATAATAGGTACACTAATCAAATGATAGTTCAGTAAAATCCCATAAACCATACTGTAGTGGAGCTTTTTAAACTCGTATTTTAAAACCATCTTACAAAGAGTTAACCTAAGGGAACATCTTAGGGCCTGAGAGTCTACCCAAGAAAGTTTAGGGTCACGGGGCCTACCTAAGAACACATCTTAGGGCCGCGGGGCCTACCCGAGAATGATCTCAGGGCTGCAGAGCCTACCTAAGAGTCACATTAGGTCCATAAAAATTTTCCAGCTTGATCAGAGCTGTACATTACAAATATGTATCTCCAAGATACAATTTATACCATGATACAAATCTATAAGCCATCACCATTTAGTCAGTGCATCCATAAAACAGTAACCATAAATTTCAGTGTACCTCATGTTAAAATAATAAAACAATTTATTAAAATATAAGGAACACACTAGAGAAATCTCATTATTTATCAGAGGCATTTTGTAGTCATCAGTATGGATAACAGAAAACTTATACAATTTGATCATATTCCAGGAACGAGGTCCTATTGAAGAGAATTGGTTACCAATCAATCTAAAATGACATTTAATGTTAATACTTTAGAATCCCATTATGTTTTCATGTGCATCCAGAATAACCAGAGTGAATTGAGTTGAAAAAGAAGAAACGAATATTTAGGGCAATTATCATCCATGACAATCGATCGGATTATCGAACAACTTGAGCTGAATAACTTTCAGAACTGATGTCTGTCGATTGGTCAATTCATTGCCCTTCCTGGTATTCACTCTATAATACCAACAATTCTTGTCCATAAATCATCTTCAGAATCATCGCTAAATATATCTTAAGGAATCGAACAGGCATCCTTATATATCTTTAATTTCTTTCCACATTACAACAATATCAATAATTGGTGACGTATTTGATTCTTATATCATAACCATAGGGATCGTACATCATACAAGTTTATTGTTTTTCCAGACTCATCCAATTACTTACTAAATTCTCCATCATTAAGATTCCTTGGTTCATTTAGCAATTAATGATATCCCGGTTACTTCAGAGTTTTCTAGAGTAATTCAGACACTTCTGAGTTTTGGATACATGTTGTACTTCCGTTCAGTTCACTTTGGTCATATACTAAAATCATTTTGGTATTCGTGATTGATTTATCTCACGAATATCCACTTCTTAATATCATATGTGCTCTAGCGTTGAGCTGAGCTGAGTACTTCCATAATTATTTTCAATCCAAACTTAAGGAGACGAACTATCATTCAAGTGGTATATATGCCATTCAAGTACTAATATAGCACTAGCATTGTTTGACCGGCTTAAATTGCGTTTCATAACATTAAAGAGTAGTACAACATCCATGTTTAATTGAATTTCTTAATTAATCCAAGACATTTACTTAGTAAAGACCATAAGGGCATTTTGGTCATTTTGGTGCTCAATGTTTTTTCCATTCCTTTTAAAGCTTGATGATATCTATTCATTTATGAACTTGGTGATATTCTTGAGTCATTCCATTACAAGGGTATTTTGGTCATTTTACAGATCCAGTGTATTTCAATCATTTCTTTCCATCTGATCTTATCATTTAATTCAAATGTATCATCTTTTCCAGTCCTTTCAAACAATTCTGGCAAAATAGCACTCTCGATAATTTATTCTTCACGTATTTACTCATAAGTCGGAGATTTCCAGGTTAAAAGTCTTTTCAGACATTACTAATGAATTGTTAGGAATTTTCCATAAAAAAGTAGGATCTTAACCATTAAATTAGTAATTTATCGGTTTAAGAACAAATTCTCATGTTACTTTCTCATTCAGAGTCAACTTGGACTATTTTTACCTCTTAAGGGCATTTTCGTAATTTCTTAACCAGATAATTTCGGTATTAACTCTTAACGAAAATAATTATAATATAGAGATCCTATAGTCAATTTCTTTCCCGAACGTTCTCTGATCTTGAAACGATTCCTTAAAAGACTTCTAGTATCTTGCATAAACCCTCATGTGGTTAAAAACCGGTTATCCATAATTTCCAAGTGAAACTAACATTTCTTATGCACATCAATAGATTTATCAGATCAATATGTCTTTTCAGATTTATTAATCCACTTTCAGGGACAATTCTTGTTATTTTCAACATAATGGTAATTTCGTAATTTTACCTAATCGAAATATTCTCATAATTTCCCATCCAAGTACCTTTGACATTTAACCTTTGATGATATAAAATATAAGTTACAAATCTAGGGTTGATTTCTTTATCACTAATCACAAACTTGTAATTTAATTATAACGATTCCTCAATATCTTATATTAGTCATCTAATCCGTATTCACTTACAGAATTTCTACCACATTCATATCGAGTGAATAAATTATTCAACTCCACAAAAGTGACCAACATTATCTTATTCATGTATTTATCAATATCAACATGTTCCACAAAACATAAAGAGGTAGTAAAGTATTATCTCGATTTTTGTGCCATATTGATTGACCATTAATTTCCATTTTAACGCCCTCGATCTTGAAATCAACTTCCAATAATTCCTCAGATGCATATCAACAGAAATTACATCAAAAACGGAGCTTAATTCTGAAAAACGGATCGAATCGAGTGATAAATCAGTCAAAAACAGATTACCGAGTTCGAATTTGACGAAACAGACTTCGGATTCGGATTCGGATTCAGGACGTCAACAAAACCCAAAATATGACTCTTAAATTTAATCTCACCAACTTGATTTCTAACTTCCAATCTTTTTCTCACGAACACGGATAATCCACCGTACAAATTCGACTTCAAATAATTTTCCTTTCCATAAAAATAAATCATTAGAATCTAATTAATAATTTGAGGACCCAATTGTTAAAACTAAAAACTTTAGGAGCAAATAAAATTTTTTAATTATTAAAATCAGGGCTAAAGCAAACTAATCTAAACTATCAAAGCTTGGTTGAAAATATACTAAAACTAGGTTACAAAAAATCTTACCGAAAGTAGAGAACTGAAGCTATGATTAGCCCTTTCTTCATATCAACATTTTTAAACTTGCTCACTAAACCCATTTACATTTATTTATTATTTTTCCATTACCAACTCTCAAACCTTGGTTGAGATATCCAAATGATAAGCAGTAAACCAGCTAGGACAAGGAGAAAACCGATGGAGAGAATGGATTTGAGAAGTCTGGAGTAGATTACACCATGGTTGAAATCATAACCTTCAATTCTAGTACAAGCCCCTTCAAGGGAATCCGAATCTTTGAAAACTGTGGAGTGTACAGAGTTTATAAGCTTATCCTCCATCATCTTCTCATACTGTCTTTTGTTCTTCGCCGAGAAAAACTCTTTAAGCTGATCAACAATGTCCTTCAATGATTTCTCTTCGTTTTTAAGCTTTGCTAGTTCTACTTCATCTTTAGCTATATCTACTTTAGTCACTTCAATTTCCTGCTCTCTCAACGTAATCCCCTTCTTATAAGTACTGATTTTTTTTCATCAGCCTATCTCTAGCCACTTTACCATCCTCCCAACACGTATTGGGGCACTTCAATTTACCATCATACTCATCACACCCATCACAACAATAGCAGATGACATCATTGACTCTAGAGGAAAACAAGAATTGTGAAACATGTCCAACATTTTGACAGTAAAATTTCACAGCCGACAAGCGGATGTTCCAGGTTCATCTGTGTCGTCAGGACAATCGCAGAAATCATCATTGAGTTGAGATTTGGAGAATTTCCCGGATCCGTATTTGCATTTAATGATATCCGATGATGATTTGTAGTAATTCAAATCCTGAGGAGAAATTCCATGGAAATGATGCTTAGGAGCAGAGGAAGATGATGATCTAAGAAATGAAGCTAAGAAAAATACAAGGAGAACGAAAATGGAATATGATTTCATCTTTCTTGTGCAAATAAAAAAACTCAATTAAAAGTTTTCACAAAGCCAATCAGAGAAATATACTAGTCGTCTTCAACAGCTTCCAACTCCTCTGATTTAAAACCAAGTCATCCCAAAAATACCTTTCAAACATGTGGTTCTCCATTTTCCATATTATAAAAATAATAATAATTGTAGTGGTTGAACAACTCTTCTCACTTGTGTTTATTCATTTTCTTTATTTTAAATTGAAGAAATGTAACCCTTTATTAGGGTGTGACAAAATCTCTTTATTATTATTAAATTATGCACGTATTTTTAAAAAATAAGATAAATTCCTATTGAATACGTGTAATAATTTTAATCAAACGTCAATCTTTTAATTAATATAAATCAAATAAAATTATTAATCCTCAATTATTAAATGAATACGAATCAAACAATATCCAAGTTAAATAAAACACTACCTAGCTCGTAATCTACTCTCTTGAAAATCACCTTCTCGGATCTCAAGTTTTATTTCTTGCAACTTTAATTCTCAAACGAATTATTTAGTTGCCATTATACGAAATTTTAGTTACAAAGAAATTTTTTATATTTCTAAAAAAAATCTAGAATGGTTACCAAAATTGCTTGACGTTCCCCAGAAAAGTTACCACTTTTAAACGAATTTTACAAATTTGGTTAGAAAAGTAAGTTAATTTCCCACCAAAACAAAATCTCCATGTGAAGGCTAACCACTTTCTGCGTAGTAGGACTCCCTCTTCTCTCTTATTCACTGTCAGAATGCGTCAAGAGTTTAACAGCGGGGGAAAATGATAAGGAATCTCCGATCTCGGCGGCGGCCACGTTACGGCGCACAGGTATGTGCAGTGCTCTCAGCTCTTCTCCTCTTATTTTCAGTTTCTATCCTCTACACCCGCCTTTCTCTCTCTTCCAAACCCGACATGTATCCCCGTCACTCATACGTAGACGACAGCAACAATGATGCCGTTTTCCCCACTATCCCTCTTCTCTCCGACTCCGAAGACGTTACCGCTGCCACCATTACCTCCTCGACCGACGACAAATTGACGAATTGGACACCCTCGAAGAAAACGAAGTAACCGACGGCGACAACAGTAATGAAATCGAGCAAGAGGAGCTAGAAATCACGACAATTAATCAAAAAGACAATATTTTTTCGTCTGGTCATTTTGATTTCGACCATATAAGTGGGAATTAGAAGAGCTTTCAATAAACGTTCGATTCAAGATTGGGATTACGATGGAGGGTTTTTGAACGATGGTTTTGGGGGGGATGATGATAAAATTAAGGAAGCTTTTGGATCCGATGATATTCCATTGGATGAGGAAATTAGGAGGAAAATGACTGAATTGGAAAGCATTGAAGATGCTTTGCTGGTGAAGAAAGTTACTGGGAGAAAAGTGAATCCTTTGAGGGAGAAATGGGGTGATTGGTTTGATAAAAAAAGTGATTTTTTGAGAAGGGATAGAATGTTTAAATCGAATTTAGAGATTTTGAATCCATTGAATAATCCTTTGCTGCAAGACCCTGATGGGGTTGGTATGACTGGCTTGACTAGAGGGGATAAAATGGTGCAGAAGTGGATTTTGAGTGAGTTCAAGAAGGTCCCTTTTACTGTGAAGAAGCCATTGGGGATCTTCGAGATGGGCTTGGAGGTTAAGAAAGACAGTGCAAGTAAGAAAAATGAAAATACGAGGAATGTGTTAAGTGTAAGAGGAAGTAGTAGGGGTGGCAAGGATGATTCGAGCTCAATTACAAATGGGAATGTGAGTAGAATTAGAAAGAATAAGGTCAATAATGCTGATTTAGAGGCTCATAAGAGTAACGCTGAGTTTACGGGTGGTATATATGCTGATGGGAAGAGATGGGGTTACTATCCTGGATTGGACTCAAGGCTGTCTTTTACAAATTTTGTGGATGCATTTTTTAAGAAAGGGAAGTGTGATATAATAATTTTTATGATATGGAATTCCCCTCCGTGGATGTATAGTGTTAGGCACCAAAGAGGGCTGGAGAGTCTGCTTGCTCAGCATCCAGATGCTTGTGTCCTTGTTGAAGACACTAGTTTTTTTATTTGATTATTATTTATATTATTATTATTATTATATATTATTATTAAATAATAAATAATTTTATTTATTATTACAGGCCCAATTATTAATCCTGGAGCCCAATTTAAAGGCCTGATTACAAAAACCCAGGCCCAAATCAGAGAAGCCCAACCGAACCAGCCCAAGTTTGGAAACCCTAAATAGATTAGGGTTCCATCTTCTTCTCCAGCCGCCTTGCTTTTCCACTGTTGGATCTGGCAAGATCCAACGGTCCATAGATCTCCAACCAGAAACCCTAGGGTTATGATAACCCTAGGGACCACGCCGCCGCTCCAATGCCAGGTGATCCAACCAGCAACTGCCGACGACTTGCTGCCATGACACCACCTCGCCAGAATGCTCCAGAAGCGCCACGAAGCCACACACGTTGAAGCCCTATGGTGAGTCACCACCATAGCTATGGTGACTCACCGAAGCTTCCCTCTTTGGACTGGTCCGATCCGAGCACTGTGGTGGCTAAGCATCACCACCTGAAAAAAGAGGACAAGGAGGAAGAATCGGAGATAACCAAAACAGAGGGGCAACCAATACACAAACAGAAAGCCACAGCAAGAACAGTGAACCAAAAAGAGAGCAGAATACGAGAACAAATCGACACCCAATAATCAGAAAGAAGAGGAAAATGAACATCTTACCATCATAAAATCTTCCAAACCGTTTGGAACCACCGGAATCGTTGTAAAACTGAAGGTAAAACCTTCGATTTATTTTAGATCTAGAGCGATCTAAAGCATTTTAGGACAAGTGAAGGCCATATTCGGTCGTAGGAGGTTGAGATCTACACTCTAGGGTAATTTGGGAATTCCGGCCACCGTTGGTGGCGACCGGCGGTGGTAATCTGCGCCGTTGGTGGTGGCCGGCCGGCGACAGAAAACTAGAGAGAGGCGAGAGAGTCTTTCTTCTCTCTCAGTTAGAGAGAGAAGAGGAAATATGAAAGTGAAGAAGCTGGCCCTTAAGGGCCGGCCTTAAGGGATTTTTAAACCCTTCCCCAAACGACGTCGTTTTGGGGAAGGGGTATAACTGTAATTTCTCGTGTGGGTAAACTATACCCGCTGCCACCACAGTTTTGTAACTTTATATTTTAGTCACTAAATCAATTTTTAAATTCTTTTAATTCGGTCTTTCGATTTTATTTAGTTTATAATTTAGTCCTAGCCTGAATACTTATATATATTTAGGTTAAATACCGTATTTAGTCCTTATAACTTTAATAATTTTTATTTTAACCTCTAATTAATTAATTAAAGATTAATTACATTAGTAACACCTAGTTTTCATAATATTTCAAACTAGAGCTTTTAATCTTGATATGTCATAATTTAGTCACCAATTTTAATTATAAGTTTTATTACTTTTTATATTTAATTTTAATTTTATTTATTTTACTCATTGTTTATTTATATTTTAATTTTATATGTTTAAATTATTATTTTCATAATTATTTTATTCATATAAATATATATCTACATTTTTTTTAAATAATAATGTTTATTTATTTTCAATATCAAAGAAAAGGACAGTCTTAAAACAACAGGATGTCCTATTCTGGTATTTTAAATAATTAAACATTATAAAAATTATAATTTAGTTTTATTTAAATTATTAAAATTTTAATATTTATTTATTTAATATCGAAGAAAAGAGCTGTCTTAAGGCACCTAGAAGTCATTTTCTGATATTTCTAAATAAATAAATATTTTTTATAAATATATTTAAATTAATATATTTTCTTAAAAATTATAGTAATAAAATTTGAAATAATATAATTATAAATTAAATATATTTGAATTTTTTTATTTCTAATAATAGAGACAATTTATAATTAAAAAATACCAATTTTAGGCGTTGTATGGGTGCTAATCCTTCCCTACACGTAACCGACCACGAATCCCTTTTTACTATTAAAAAGAACGATTTTTTGGTTAAAACGCATATCAGTTTATCTTTTAACTGATGTTTTCTTAAAAACTCTTTTAAAAGATATTTTTTAGGTATTCGACCTACCTGACCCAAAAGGCCGATGGCGACTCCCAAATTATTTTCAAAACCATTTATTCACATCACTTTTCCCGTCAAGTAAGTACAAAATTCGTGCCTGGGTGAAAACCGGTTACGACAGCTTGGCGACTCCGCTGGGGACTGGTTAAGCTTTTAAAATTAATTATAAATTGTCTCTATTAATTAGAAATTAAAAATTCATATATTTAATTTATAATTCTTTCTTTTCAAATTTTTTATATATTTATTATTTTTATAGTATTTATATATATTATTTCATTTTATTTGCAAGTATTTTCATTATTTATTTTTCTGTCAGAGGTTTAAATATTTCTCCTCACACACAACACTTGCATTGCATAACATAAAGCTCTATAATTGAGTTTGTCCCTTTTAAGTGGGAGTGAAAGCGACGTCTTCGTGAGAATTTATTCTCCGTGTCAGACCTAGCAAGTAACTTTCGGGGTTCATATGCTCTATGTCTTCGTGAGAATTTATTCTCTGTGTCAGGCATAGAGAAATGTATCCCCTCGAATTGAACTCAATCCACTTTAGTCTGTGATGGACTAGGATTGAGGGTTAGCAACCCAAGGGGGCACTAACAAGGACAATTCGGGTACCTTTATTCTTAGATCTGAAACCTGCATATAATAAACCCTAGAAACTCTCCTGATCTGAAACCATGCCGAAATTTTGTAAGTAGGTATACACAAAGGAGAAATAAGTTCTAGCTTTTAATTTATTTTATTTCCTTTTTCCTGAATAAATGCATGCGAACTAGAAATCATGCGGTTAGGTTAAATTTTCCAAACAAAGCATGGAACTAGAAAGCATAAGGTTAAGATTTATACCTTGATAGATAGATTTTTTCCCATTAGTTGGTACTAACTATTCTATTTTTTTTATTTTTTTCATGTATATTACATTGCTCTAATCTGTTCATATTTGATTTCTTTTGTTTGCATTACATGATCATGGCATAACCAAAAGGAGTTGACTTGAAAGACTGTTCATCATATTAGAAAGAAATCGTAAATGGACAAAAAGTTTTATGATCAAACAAAATATGATGCGACCAAGGAAAGGCATCCTGAAGAAACTACGAGGATCGAGGGAAGTTCTGCACACAGAGAACCGGTTATATTAATACCAAAAGTACTCCACAAAAATTCTGCCAGATTGATACCAAAAGCAGTCTATGGTAAGAGTATCAGTCGGGACATTCATAGTAGTGGAGATTTTTATGAAGCTCAAGCATGTTATTTGAAGGACTTGAACGACCAAAACAAGAAATTGAACACAGAAATGAAAAATATGCATGAAGATTTTCAGAAAATTAGTCAAGCCTTTCAAAATACTGGCTTAGGAAGTACCCCAGAAGAGTGGATCACAGGGGTCACCAAGCTGAAAAAGAACTACAACATATATGAAGATCTTGTTCAAAAACTTCTTAGATAGAAAGGATCTCTTACAAGGGAAAATAAGCAACTTCGAGAAGTGACACAGAAGATGAAAGAGAATGTCATAGAAGAAGTTGCAGTCCAGACAAGCAATATGGTTCTTAAATGATAGATTTAGCTGATTTTACAAGGAGATGAAGCAGACTGAAGACTCAACTTTTTGAGCATGAATGGAAAATAATTAGGCTTTGGAAAAGTTAGGAGTAAAATATATCCTTATATGTAAAGTTTTGTTTAATGTACCGAAACTTTTGTGTTCAATGAAATCTGTTCTAAGATGATCACTCTTGAGTAAACACCTTTTCATACATGCATTTGCATTTTGCATCTTTGCATTTTTCATTTTGCATTTATACTCTTAAATTTGTTTTTGTACTATACAATTTGCATTGTTACATTCAGATTTTTACATTTGCATTTGGCATCTTTGTATTTGTATTTTTATGTTTGCTTTTGCACAATTTGTATTCTTATTATTACATTCACATATTCACATATTTACATTTGCATTTGGCATCTTTGCATTTTTTATGTCATAATACATTAAAACATTCATTCATTAAAATAAGTATTTCAAACAAAGTGATCTTGGTTTTTCCTTGAAGCAAGAACGCTCAGCACGACACAAGAAAAATGTCTAAAGAAACTGAGGATAGGCTAGCCAAATTTGAGATAGAGCAGAAAAAAATACAAGAGGAATTGAGGAGCAAGTTGGCACAAATTGAAGCTAATATCACAAATTCTCATATCGATCTACTGAACGATATGAAAAAAATGATTGAGAAGCACCAGACCGCTGGAAAGAGTCTTGTTGAAAACCCCATAAATTCTTTGGATGTTACACCTGTTCATATTCCTGAGTTCACCTCTGTACCCCAGGAAATTCAATCACCGATTTACTTTGTTGTTAAGAACTCACCATATCAAGCTGGAGCATCATTCCCCACTAATTGTCCTACTAATTCTGAGTTGAAGCCTGATGAATTTTGTATTAGTAATGAGGTCCTTGACCTAAACAAATCAGTTGAGAAGGAAAAATTCACTCGACGACTGGAAAATATAGAAGAGGTGATAAAATCTATAGAGACAGTTGAGTCATTTTATGGGTTTGATGCCAAAGAACTAAGTTTGGTCCCTGGCCTGGTTATTCCACCAAAGTTCAAGGTTCCAGATTTTGAGAAGTATAATGGGACCACATGCCCTTCATATCATATCACTATGTATTGTCGTCGTATGACTGGCTATGTAGAGAATGAAAAGTTGTTAATCCACTGTTTCCAAGACAGTTTATATGGATCTGCATCCATATGGTATAATAAGCTAAAACGTACTCAAATACGTTCTTGGAGGGATTTAGCTCAAGCTTTTTTAGGTCAATACAAGCACATGACTGATATGGCCCCTGATCGAATAATGTTGCAAAGCATGAATATGAAGTGCAATGAAAGCTTTCGACAATATTCACAACGATGGAAAGAC